GAAGTGGTGGAGTCCCCATCCCTGGAAGTATTTAAAAGACGTGTAGATGCGGCACTTAGGGACATGGTTTAGTGGGCATGGTGGTGTTGGGTCGATGGTTAGACTCGATGATCTTAGAGGTCTTTTCCAACCTTAATGAGTGTATGATTGCAGCACTGCTACAGCAGTAGGAGAAAGGAGAAATAATATGAGCAAAGGGAATGGCATAAAGATGACCCAAGGCAGCAGGAATTAAGTTTGCTTAAAAGGAGAGAAAAAAGCTAGGAGCTACGGCTACCTGTACTAGGTCACATTTTACATTGGTTTTACTTACTTTGTAATATAAGGCTACAGGGACAGAATTACCTGCATTTTTAATTTGTAGAATGCTTTGTTTTCTTTTTACAGGTGAACAACAGTTCCAGTTTCCATTTCATAGACACATATATTTGATATTAGGACACTTATTGTGGGTCTTGGAATTAAATCAGTGTTTGCTGTACCTGAAGGAATTGGTGATGACCGCAGCATACATGATGCAGAATTTGAGGCATCTGAAATACTCTTGTCAGATGAGGGAAAATAACTGTATGGATCCACAAGAAGTTTGGCGCTCTGAGTTACAGAGATATTTTCATCCGTGCTCTGACTGCTGAGAGAGTGTAGACCGCCAGAATTTCCATCTTAAAAAAAAAAAAAAGGAGGGGGAAAAAAGCTGTATTACTTCTATGTTCAAATAAAATACAGCCATCAGAGACTATTTAGAGCAATTCCATAAAACAAGTCATAAACAACCTAAATTCACTTCAAATACAACACATTATTCCTTACACTCAGGTTCTGAGTACATTTATGTCCCTTATCTTTTACCAGGGCTTGACCATGGGTTTGGGGGTCTTGTTTTATTTTAAAAGAACATTGAGAGAATAGATCTAGTAGATGTGAACTTTAAAAAAGCTCTGTTTGACAGAAAATTTTTGTAGGGGCTGGAAGAACAAAATAACTCCTTCAAGTGTTTGGAGAGGTAGCTAGGAGTCAGCATGAAAGGTGACTAATTTATTCTGATGAAGTCTGGCAGCATAACAAAGGTGGAAAGATTGAAAGAAAGATTCAGGTGGAGGGAAAGAACATGAAGACCAACAGTGACATTTGGTGGGAAGCCAATGGAAGCTTTTGGTAGTCCATCAAAACAGCATATGACTTCAAGAAAGCTTCATGTAAACATTTGCAAAGAAAGGAAAAAAAAGGGTTTCTGTCAGGTGGAAAGCTTAACAGTTTCTATTTTTAGGATTTTTTTATGGCAGAAAAAGATGATGGATATTGTTGTGGTTTAACCTCAGTAGGAAACCAGCAGTAGGAATGACTCAAAGAAGAGACAACAAATAGCTGATGAGAAACCAACTGCAGGGCATATGCCTAATTCTGTGTACAGTTTTCATTACAGACTTTTGCAGTGTCACTTGATAAAGAGCTTCAGAGATGTTAACTAAGAACCAGAGATGCAGATGTAAGAATTCAGATGAACATCTAAAGACACAATAAGAACAGGTAGCCCCCTGGACAGCTCAGTATTTAGATACCCATCCAGTGGGGGTATTTGGGTGTATTCCTAGATCAGAGTGTTGACCTGTGGAAGAATATGGCTCTAAGTACAAGGAGCAGGAATAGGAAAATGTGAAAGAAATGACACTCTCATTATTTAAAAAATGGTGGACTAGAACTCATAGTAACTAGCATTTCATTTCATTAAAGAGAGAGAAAGTAAGCTGGGCAGAGCTATGTCGTGTGAAACAGCAGATGTTACCTACTGCATGAATGAGAAAGGATTAGGAGACAACCAGTGTGAGTGAAAGATCATTTTAGAAAAGGATTTTAAACACCTCTGCTGGGATATATTATTATAGATCTCTAGGCACACATCGGTCTTTAATAACATTAGACAAAACTACTGGGATTGTACTAGTATGAGAGAATGACCTTGACCAGTAACCACAGCATAAAAAATAGAAACATGCTAATAAAATTTGCAGATGTCATTCAGAAAGAACAGCTTGACCCAGGTTACTCAGTAAGAACCTAGTTGACCTAGAAGACTGGAGTAATAGAAGTGGAAATTCAGCAGCAAAAATATGAGATCTAGACTTTCTGCTTCAAGCTGGGGCTAATGATTTGGAATTGAGCTGAGGAAAAAAAAAAAACTTAGGTAGACTATTCTCTAATGAAGAATCTTGTGAGAAAGAAAAAATAAAATTCTAAGGTATATTAAGCAAAGATTTTTTTTTTTTTCAGATGGAAAACATTTGTCACATCTCTTTCATAATACTAAGTACAAATGTCTGGTAGCCTTAGTTCAATGACTTAAGTTAGAACATGCACAAGGAGGACTGGTAGGATACCGGGAGAATGAAGAAGCTTATTTTACAAATGGACTTAAAAAGAACGTATCCTGTTTGTCTAGCAAAACAAAGTGTATTAAAGGATTACTCTCTCTATCGGAAATAAAATGGGAAAAGAGGGAAAACAGTCATTTAAGCTTAAAGCAATGCCCAAGAATAAGTGTGTGTATAAGCTGGCTAGGGAAGAAAAATTAAACAGGCTGAAAGTTAGAAGACAGTTCCTAACTCTGAAGGAGCAAGTTTCTGAAAAAGTCTTCTAATTGTATTGGTGGAAAAAACAACTCCACTACAATCTATAGTCATTAACTTCTGCCTTGGTGCCATGCCAAACTCATCTCTTGCCAACAGCTACCCGGGAACAGATTTTCACCTGAAACAATTGCATCTAATTTTGGCAAAGAAAGAAGAATGTCAGTCTTGCTTTCCATTATAAAACTACCTGATGGAGATATTGGCAAAGTAATAACAAACACTTCTGCTGTAGTATGGTTCACAGGCTTTACTGTATCTATACATACATGCAACAAAATCTAAGCAGTGACTCTGTAAAGGACCATCAACTGATCAATCAGATTAATAGTACCACCACAATCTCATCAATGACCTCCGCAGGCAGATATGACAATTTTTAACAGGAACCAGCAGCAAGAAGGGCTGACATTTATCATTATCTGATCTGATTACACTTATAGTCCATGCTCATATTCAATCTAATATTCCACTTTCTAAAATTCATCACAACATTTCTATTAAGCGTGGTAACCACAAGTTATTCTTCATCTTTAAGACTTTTATGCTATGTGTATAGATAAATGCTTGGGTTGAGGTACAGCCAAATTACGCTACATTTGTTTTTTGCCATTTTCCCCAGTAACTCAAATTCCTTAAGCCTCCCGTAATTTATTTTCCCTGGAATTCCTGCTGTATTTATATCTTTCTAGTACGTTGAGTACAAGCCCAGAATTGTGCACGTGTTCAAACAGGAGCTGGAAAAGAAACTGCCTGTGCCCTCCTACCTCTACCAGAATATCTCTGATTTCGCAGCACCTCAGCACACGTTTTAATGTCCTACTTTATAGCAGTGTAGTCAATTGTCTTGTCTGCTTTCACACCACTGGTCCCTGCAAAGCCAAAGGATGCTCCATTCTTTGAAAATATATGTTTGCATTCTTTCAAGAGAAGAAACTCAAGTGCAGCTTTAGTTTCACAATGTGTTGCTATTCCACCTGGGTCCCATCGCATTTTTCTGGCTTCTGATGTCAGCAAAACCTCAAAATTTAGTTTTGTCTGGGAATTTTGCCAACTTTTATTCAGAAAAGGTGACGGCTACAAAAGGTGTGTGCAGATACTTTTGCAAGGCAATCTATTTATTAAACCCGTTTTATTTATTGAATCAAAAAAGATCGAGAGGTTGGGCTTCATTAGAAACTTTCAGTTTACTCAGCTTTAGGAGTGCCTCAAAATGTTTAGGCTTTTTATCTTTACAAATAGTTCACAAATGATTAACTAAACTGCCAAGAGTCTGAAGGGACAAGTAAATACTATCTCTGCACTCACAACCCTGAACAGGAAAACTGAAGCTGTGAGCTGTGGGGATTTCTCAAGTGACAGGAACAGAAAATCAGAGCTAAAATACTCTAGTTTTTTACCCACAGCACTAAGTTTACAAAACACATCTCTTTTCTGACATAAATGGAGATCCAACTATCTACTATGCAAATGCAGTGTTACAGTGGGAGTGTAAAGCTGTGATGGCAACTTAAATTTATATGAAGTCATTAGTGTCTCTACCTGATGAGAGGATATTACACTTGGGAACAGACTTGAGTCTTGATATATCTGGAGAGATGCTCCGAAGAGGAAGTGCATCACATTGTATGGAGCCAGAATATGTTTCCTGAAATGATTCCAGATGTATAATGAAAATGCACATTAAATAAACACAAAGTTGCAATGATTTACAGAGTACTTTCCCATCATTTTCTTTTCCCTACTATCTAAATGCTCAATAGACAGCACAATAAAAATACAGTAAAACAGAAGTAATCTATGTAATGCTAATACTTATGTTTTTCCAAAGCTGACAGCAATTTTGTATAGAAGTTTAATTATTAGTAAGAATCAAAAGAAGCAGCATTAAAAATCAAAATGTAAAAGCAAATCTATATGACCCTATATAAGCAAGCTCCGCAGAGGTGTAAGGTAGCAGAAGACAGTCTCTTATAAGTTGCAGACATTGTGTGCTGCATTCCTCCTTGAGGGACAGGCTTTCCCACACTTAGAGGATATACTGAACATGCCCTTCTTATTTCTGCTTACCTACCCTTTACTATTTTCACCTATATGGCTATGCATTTGTTACACCCCAGCTCAACTAATGCATTTTACACCTTTCCTGACCGCATAGGAAAGTAAACTGCAGAACAATTCCCCCTTACTAAGTTAACCCCCCTTTAAAGCTCTCAGGATCTTTAATGATGCCGTCATACCAAATGCAATACGTAAAATATTTACCTCTTGGGGATTCAGAGGTATATTTAGAGATATCTGCTCCACATCTGCTTTCTTTCCACTCTTGTAAATACATCGTGATTCATATAGTGACTGGAAGAGACATATTTACCTGTATTACATTTCTGCTATAAGACAAGATGACAGCTCTGTACAAATACATGCTTCAGCCAGATAAAAGATTAGATAAATGACAAAGGAGATTACACTTCTTTTAGCAAACAAAAGTTACCAACTTATTTGACCAACTCACGACTGTAACAAAAGCCACTTACCTTTGATCTCTTTAACAGAATTACTGCTTCCAGCATAGCTATTTCATCAAATGTTCGCAGGACTGGCTCAAGGTCTATTAAGCATTCTAAACAAAGAAAGAGTACTTTGCTGAAGGATTTAAGGTGGAAATGAAGTTTTCATTTTGCTAAAGCTACTTTCTTACATCTACAAAAGTAATTTGTCTATTGATACATATCAAACTACTTACGCTGCTAAAGAGAAGTTTCTTGCTTTCACCTGTTACAAACACAACAGTTTCACATCACCAGAACAAACCCTGTCCTGATCTGGCCACCTCAGCACTCTGTATCAAGAGATCCAGGACTGTGCCTGACCGCAAGTCTTGCATTCCTGGAACGGATAGATCGGTGGGTTTGCTGTATTTCAAGATAGACGCAACAAGCCTGGTTTGCTAAATGGGACCAAACAGCACAAGACCTCAGAGTGGGTCGCTGTCTTCCCACTCCAGCAGAGGTGTTAAAGATTTATATGAGAAAAATAAACAAACGACCCCCCACCACAGCAAAATCCAAAAGGGATGCTGTGCAGCAGGGCCAGAGAAGATGGTGATAGTCAAGGCACTGACCTATTGCATCAAGTGAATCCAAATGATAGTGTCCTCATGCTCACCAAAGGCAGCAAGTCAGAGAAGGTAAAATCATCTGCTCACATAGGGAGACACTCGACAATCCAATAAGCAAGTGACAACCTGTGCTATGCTCCCTTGCTTTCCAATGCTGAAAGGTTTACAAAACTAAGTATTTCAAATTTTGACATGACTGTATAATAAAAATGTCTCTTTGACACTGTGCTCAAGTACAACAAAACCTCAGGAAAGGATGATGTCATATCACAATTCTACTGCATTTCTATAGACTCCACCCATTTGGCAAAACCCATTTACCGTACTAGCAATTTGTCACACTGCATCCTTATGAACATATTTTTATTTTTTACTATAATTTTACCACAGTTCTCCCATATTAACTTTTTTCCACTAGCATCTTCAAGACATACATTCAATACTGGGATTCTTATTTTGTCGCATCAGCTAAAACAGAATTTTATAGGTTTGGCACTCCATTTTCCACACTGACATACTAGCACTGTTAATTTTTGTTGATTATAATTAAATTGTAGGTACATATTCCAAGTACATGCAGAAACATGGTGATAAGTAGTCTTTATCCCTTCTTTATAAGGGGAACAGACAGGTTAACCAACCTTTTCTATTTAAAGTTTATTTAACAAAAAGGGGGTTTGAGTGTTTTGGGTTGCCCCCGCAGCGTGCTATGGTAATTGCAAAATTTCCCAGTCAGTGAGCTTTACTTCCCTTAATTTTGCAACAGTTTTGCAACTTCCTCTTTCTTTTTATGATAGTAAAGTAGGGGAAAAAGCAATGCATGTTTTCTTCAAAGACCATCTTACTACAGACACAGCACTAATAACAGAACCCAAGTTAGCTCACACTTTAGTACATATCCCAGGTAATTATCCCTTCAGTGTGACCATAGACTTTGATTGCTATTTTGTTTTGGTTAACTGACATAGGAAAACAAGAATACATAAGGAAATATCATGATGTGTCTATTCTTTTTGATTTTAAAAAAATATTATAAATAGATATATTTCCTTGCTTGGAAAAAAAAAAATCCACAGTTTACAATCATACAAACCAGACTCATGCCAAAATAACCAGACATTTCAAAATGTTCTTAATGCAAAAATAAGAATGCCTCAAAAAAGGTCATGTAATTCATTTTGGACTGTAAACTGAACATGAAGATGCTGTATGCCTTTGGATGTGTTCCCATTTTTTCCTCTGCCAAGCTCATACAAAAAAATGAAGTTACGAACACTTCTTTCTAAGCTATCTGAACAGCAACTTTCTAACACTTTCCAGCTCAAAGAAAGTATCCCTATAAAGGTTTTCAAAATAATAAACAAACTTCTGTTCACCCAAGCTACAAATGAAACATTAAGATTGCGGACCCCTCTACTCGTAACATTAAAAAAAGAAAAAAACCCAAACCAAACAAACCCTAAAAACAAAACCTACCAGAACCAACTAAAAAACCCTAGTATTTCAGGTTTGAGTCATTGCATCCTCAACCTAACTAGTGAGAAACTTAAAATATAGAATTGTTTAAGCCAGAGCTCTTTCTACTGTTCTACATTTGAATACTTTCAGTAACTCTCTTATTCTACATTTTTGCCTTTCCAAGGTGATTCCCTACGGCTTTCCCTACAGAATTAGGATCATGTTTTCTAAAGTTGTAGGGAGGAAGTTTCTAGAGCACATGCAAATTAAACAAGCACAGTGAGGCAGCTGCAGGAACCACTGTTAGTGTCACTGCACTGACATATGTGACCACAGCAACACTTGCAAGAGCAAATTTCAGAGTTGAAAACAGGTAATCAATTTCTGCCAATTTTGATGGAATTACTTTTACACAATGGCCAAACAAGAGCCGAAAGTAACCACAAAATTAAGCATGTTAAGAAGAAATTGTTATGGGGGATAAATTTGGACTCAACACACACCAAGTACGTCAGTTAAGTGCAACAAACACAGGTTTGCAAAAATAAAAACAAAACTTTTCCAGTTCACACTATGCCACTCTAATCTCTACAAACTCACACTTCACTCTTATTCTTTAAAGTCTGTAATCCACTGTAAAAAAGGCTGAAAGTATCTATATTATCAGGACAAAAAGCTGAACAAAGGAAAGATGGAAAAAGAAAGTTAAGCGCGTGGCTTCAACCAGTTCCTGCTCAATCTGGGAGGTGGAACAGTCAAAGCTGAAGTCTCAGTGAAAAAGATTTATACTGAGATGCAAACACAAGGTGAAGTCACTATAGCTTATCTGATGTGCAATGATTTGTTGGTGTGTTTGCCAGCTTGCTCATAAATCCCACAGTAGTCATTATATACTTCACTTCCCCCCCCTTCTTAAAAAAAAGTTCCCTTCAACAATAAACCCCAAATGCAAGGAGTTAAACAAAACACGCTGCTTTTTTACAGGTAAATTAGAGATGGCAAATGCAAAAGACTCCAACTAACAACTTGGTTTTATGGCACACATGTAGTTCCATTCATAAAAGTTTGTTTTCTTCCTGACATGGTGGAAGCAGACAAGCACCTCATACGCAACAAGACTGACCACATGTATCTCTTGACATCTTTACCATTTCCCTTTTGCACCTATAATCTTGCTCTGTAAGTACCACGTTCAACAGAAATCTGGCAATTTAAAAATCTTTTCTCATTATGCAAGGTAAACTCACTTAAGAACGATGGTCTTTCATCTGGGTTTTGTGCCCATCCACTTCCTATCAATCTTATGATGAGCACTCGATGAGGAATGTCCATTGATAAACTTTCTTCACTTAAGTCTAGTCGCTGTCCTTGTGACACACTATACATTATCTGCAAGGGGTTTATAACTTCTGTCAAAATAGACATCGTGCATTCATTAGAAATATATGCAATATAAATGGTCTACTATAGGAGGAATAATTTAGTTTGCAGACACAGTATTTATAGTTCACCAAAATAAGGTTATGTTTCTTTTTTGACAAAAAAATGTATTTTTAATTTATCAAACATCACTGTAATTTTTAAAAAAACAATACAGAAGAAGAGTCTAATTTGAAAAGTAACTCAAAGTGTTCTTCAACAAGCTTACAAGTTGAATCATTAAAAAGTAACCCCTAAAATGAAGTCCCCAGGTAGCCAGGTCTCAGGTTTAGCCTTTACGTAAGGCTGGAAAAATAAAGGAAGACATGGTCTTACCTTCAAATGGCTGTTTCCTTGACATCACTTCCCACATAATAATTGCATAACTGTTTAAAGTACAAAAAGTATAGAAGATGTTATTTTAGATTACCAACACTTAATAACACAATTAGCTCAGCTTCACATTTTATTAAAAACATTTCACTAAAATGATCCTGCATGCGCACACGGGACTGACTATAGCTAACGACCTGAATATATGAAAACTAGCAGGAATTTTAACAAGTGACTTCAACTACAACTAGCTAATAATATTAAGTACAGAAAAGATACATGGCATATAAACGCTTGTTCCAAATCTGTATTAGCTCTGCTCTACTAATACGTTGCGAATTACGTACATATAGTTTAAATCTCAGTACGCAAATTAAAGTGACCCCCAGAGTCCTAACTGCTCTATCCTAACTGCAATACTGTGGCATCTCCCCAGTCCGGATCGATACTCTCCGACATTCCCACGGGAAGCAGGGTACTAGCAGGGAGGATGGCGTTCACCCGCACCTCTATCCCAACACGAAGTCAGTCAGGTGAGATATGGACTTGCATCTGAGAGGTACACTCCAGCTTCCCCCACAGACATATATACTTTCAACATATGTAGTCTTCGCTATAGGGAGAGATGTCACTTTTACATACAAGATTCACATCACAAAAGAGACTCTCAGGAAGACCACCCTGAACTATAGCCAGCGGACTGAACACACACCTGCATACTCAAACCAGTGAAATTTTTTTCCATTCACATCAACATGAATGGGAAGTGGCTCAGTGAATACAAATCTGCTCCATCTTTAGTCACTCTCGTCAATCATCACGAGATATTAAAAAAAGGTAACTTTAAACAAGTTTGTAATTTAAATTGGATTAGATTATTTTATTTAAATGAAGCATTGACTTCATTTATAAAAAAATAATCAATGCATTTAAAGCAAATAAAAGAAAATAAAATAATGTAA